TGCTATATCGTGGCCTTTTGAATACGTTGCGATATAGCCTTTACGTCTGACCCACCATATGTACTTACTTCTCTCGATAGAATGACACAGCATTGTACGCTTCAGCTTGTCTCCCTACTCTTAATTTGCAGAATGTTGCTACATGGCTGTGCTGGTGTGATACTAGTTGCAGATGTCACAGAACAGCCACTGAATGGTCGATTGGTTCACCTACATCGACAGTTTTGTCATTTCTGGCTGTCTCATCGCTGATGCCGCTGCGCTCATAAGCGAATCCAAGGTAGCTTTTCACATTCACAATCAGCCATGGAGACGCGATGCCGGCAGGTCTGTTATGGGTAGGATTCGTGACGTTGCAATAAAGATTGCGCTTCTGTGTGAATCTTACGGCCGATACTACTACCGTGGCCGACTGACATGGTTACTTAATTCCCTTCTTGACCTTACTTATTTGCTGCTGAAGCTTGTGTTATGTTTCCTTTGGTGCACTTTTCTTACCATATTTAGCCGCATTTAGTCATCGATCTTAACTGTTCAAACACCTTAGAAATCATTCCCAGCCCGATTTGACGCTTACCCCACGCAATCAGTGTTAGGTACACGTTTGGGTCTGAAGGGAGTTTACCGAAAAGAATTCTTAATCCTGAACTTATTTCTGGTCTTGATTAATCAGTAACATGCCCACCTTGAAACTGGTCGTCTTTGATCACCGATGCTTGAAGGCTAATGATCAAATCTAGTGGGAGCATTAAGTGGCCAGCACGGGAATGTCCCTTAAACCACCAATATTGGATAAATCATGTGTCATATGCGCTCTACCTGTCCCCTCCAATACGCATTGTAGACTGTATTTACACGTAGCTTGCTGATTCTACAGGGTAGCCAATCGTTAGTTTGACATAAAGGCATGAAGAAGCCAATTCATGAAATCACTCAGGTTTCTACCTTCTAGATTCAGGAATGTATATCAGGATCGGCCACGCCGATTTTTGGATACTTTGCTTTACATGGCACAGCCGCTGACCCAGTGGTGCTCCCGCACTCTGATTCCTACTTCTGGCCTCTTGCCTTCAAACCCAATAAGACCAGTTCAAGTTTGAACATATGTTTTTCCTCTCTTACTTACGTCCCATTTTATCCAACCTCCGTTATCAATTATCCTTGTCTCCTTGACAAGTTATGATAGCTGTATTTGCTGCCCTTCATTTCTCGAATCTTAGTCGCTCAAATGAGCTGAACTTGTTCAGCCGTTTTTATCTTTTTTTTATACTGCTGTACCCATCAACTAGGTACTTCCAACTCCATTCCTCCCAACTATTAACTGTAAGTCCCTACTCAGTTTACTTTTGCGCAGGCAAACCACGAAGGGCACTCAATCTCCGAAACTAAACGTGCTATCTCAGATCGCTTAACCCGCTCTCCCCAAGCCTCCAAGCATTTTGACAAGCTGTGGATTGGCTGTCCGCTCTCGTCGCGTTTCATCTCGCTAATACCAGGTCTCTTGCTGCCCGTTTCCTGTATCAGACGGAATAACAATAAGTACCAACGGTAGCGACTGTATTCAGTTCCGTAGCACGATGAGCCCATCAGTCCTCGCGGTCTTTTCAAGCTAGCAATGAGTTTTGCCCTAGCTTTTTGCGAGTCAGTGCAATCGCTTCCAGCCGGAATACATCGGTAAGCATCCAAAGTTCCAGACAGCGTAAAGATCCAGTTTCCAGGTTGGCAATTTGATTTTCCACATGAAAACATGCCCGCTGATAGTCAGTGGCGAATATGCGACCAGTGGTCTTCAACGGTGTTCACTGGGCATTTATTCAGGCCGGATGCCAGCGTACTTTGTTACCCATTCAGAACACTTGGCTTCGCCAGTTGCTTTTTGCCTATGCGGTCACAGTGACGTTGCGGACGTCCGCAAAAACGCACCCGAAGTTCGGCACACACAAGAGCGTGATTGGAGTCCACGCTCGTGCTCCAAATCGAGCGACGGTTTTGTATGCAGCCTCTCCAGTGGTAACTGATTGCGATGTGATCGATTTATGTCCATGGCTGGTTCGAGACTGGTGGGTGCCAGGTCACTCTTTTGTGGTTGCTGTGTCAAAAGTTGGTGCTCGCGAGAAAGGCGAACATATGATGTCTATGCGATCGCCTCAAGTTATGTATCATTCTTTTCACCCCATATCACTTTAATGACAATTTAGCTGGTTCTCTGGTTCGATCATTAAGTTCTTTTGGCGCAGTTGCTAAGGTCCACCTCACCATTGCAACGCTACTTGACACCAGCAGAAGAAAGTGCGATAGAATACAGCAACAAATATACGGTTAAAAATTGAAAGAATACGCAGGCTATACTGGCTTCACGGCCCCATCATGACGACACTAGTCCTTAACGTGGCACGGTGGTTCGCGTCTCTTAACGAGCCATTTGAACTATGCTGGATGGTACTTTTTGCACCTTCAGAGCCACTCATATCAGATTGGTCAATGGGTAGAGATCTGATAAACTCAGTCTTTTAGCCCTCCAGATTGAGGATTGGGGTAAGTGTGGAGGCACAATAGCTGAAGCTAGCGTGTAAGGTTGCTGATGGCCTAACAACTGGGGATTGTGTGGTAGGCTTTCCGACTACGTGTACGGCAACACCCGAGATGATATAAGGCAACTCTGGCGCACCTCACTTGCCGTGGGTAACTCAGGTGACAGCTTTCCAGCCTCGGAAGTCACCATAGAGTGACTGCAGATTCAAAAGGAGTTAACTTGCACGCCCTTCGGATAAGCAGTGCCACAAGTTAGCGGGGTCGACAGAGTCGAACGCGGTTTACAAGTCGGAGAGAACCACCATAATCGGTCGTCTTTACGTGGGCCTCTGCTCCAACACCTGAGGAAGACGATGCGTGTTCTATACAACCACGACCAAGGTGGAAGCCTGCCTGTCTTTCAGTGATTCGGCTCTCGCCAAGACCACTACATCCTCCGAGGATGAGCCCAGAGTACGCTGGTCTTTCTCGAAGATGGGAACGACATTTGACAGTCGCCAGTCTGAAGGCACTCTTCAGTGTCCACACTGGTGTCAAAGTGAGCGACAATCCTAGTCAACTAAGTTATCTCCATCTTTCAGCACAGATGAGGAAAGCTCATCGGTTTCCGGGGTTTTGTTCTGTCTCAACACGGCGTGACACCAACATCCCACATCGGCTGAGGTGACTTAGCGGAAGGCAGTCGGAGCAGACTCGCTAAATTGCTTTTTAAGATGTATTGTCTAACTGGCTAGTCGATGACACTGACAATGAACCAGCCGGCTGTCTCTCTCAGTTTTTGAGGGCTTTCTCTGGCCCGTGTTCCATATGAGCTGGAATAGCACTCAGCTATTCCCAATAGCACTGACTTACTTTATCTCACGGGCCCTTAACATCCACCAACCTACTCGATCAATTCGAAGACTCCTTGTCATTTTCATTTCTGGGCTTTCCCGATCTGCTGAATAGCAAAGGCTTTTGGATTCTGTTCCCGTGTTTCAATCTAATTGATCGGACGTCTCAAGCTTTTTGCGTATGACAGGTGTCAAAGCCATTCTCCATGACACACCTGAGACCATCCCAATTAGCGTTATGCACACCAACCTACTTCAACACTGACTATTGGTGGACCAGTTCTCCATGATACTGTTGAACTGCAGACTGCGAGCTCAAATTACAACTAAGAAGGTTGAAAGTTTGGCGCTTCTTCGAATCTGAAAGTGTGAGCGCCAGCCATGCGCGCATTAGAGCATGGTCGGAGTACAGGCACGTGTACCAAACTGATCGACAGTCTTGGATTGATGTACCCCATTCATAGATGATGGCGATATGATCAGTTTGGGTGTAGTTTATCGGGGAGTTCGGTAGACGCCAGATATCGCGATGTGAACTTTTGTGTTGGAAAACATTGCTGCTAATACAATGCTTGTGCTCGGCGCACAGTTGTAGATATCAATCACCAGTCTGTTCAGCATGCCTCGACCCCGGAGCGGTCTCGTAGTTGTTCTTCACATTCTGAAAGGCGACCCACTTTTTTATTTACGTCAACAACAACAACAATCACGATCAGTTTTTCACTATGCTGGGAGGGCATGAGAGTTCACGATAGCAGTCGTTTTTGATAGCCTCTGAACTGCCTTCAGTAGGCGGTATAAACCGAGGCGATGAAAAGGCGCTTTGTCTTCGCTTGATGCTTAGTAACCTCAATATAGTTTCGGAGTTGAACCACGCACATGCGGCTGTTTACTTGTATGCAGTCGTGTGGATTGCCTTCAGCTTGTTTTCTGAAGGCAATAATAACGCCGCAAGTATCTCCAGCCATTTACTCAGTACCATCAGCGAATCAGAGTCTAGTTTTGGTCTGCAGATTCGAATCAGAGGGTCAAAGGTTCGTCAGAACTCTGTCATCTTATATGTATGTTCCGGCGACGCAGCACACATGCATACCAAGGGCGTTAAGAGTGAGAGTTAGTGCTACTTGTTGGGCTTTGGCTGTGGTCCGAAGTATAATGAACACGTTTGGTTTGACACATGTGCTACTATGGCGTAGTGCTGGCCCCAATAACATTTGTGTTGTGAGTGTCTTTATGCATCCCCTTTCTCTTTAGATTCCCCCTCCAATTCCTATCTCATACTACCTGCATAATATAATGTTTAACATTATATTACTTGCTTCGTGTTTTTATGGTGATTTTTAAGCATCTTAGCTTTCTGTGTTACGGCACATTACCAGAGGTGTGTTTCTCAGTCTCAGCTAACGTGTATTGACGATGATGCTGATCGTTGTATTCACACTAAATCACATATTACGGATTATGCGTGTGGTCACCATGTTCTACCCGGATGGTTTCATCCATCACTCTTTAGTCTTGTAAGTCATATTATCCACCAGTGGTTCAGTATATTCTCTCCCACTGATTCTCTTTATGGTGTAAAACTATTCGTACCTTACCGTCGGTCTGTCTATTCTTCTTTCTCATTTCTTACAGCTACTGTCGCTACCATGGCCCTGATAAAGTGCATAACCGTCCTCGACCACCAGAGGAACTTGTTGCTCCACTTAGATGCTTACTGTCTCATTTCCTTTCGGCGCTACTTTTCTGGTTTTGGGAACTTTGCACCAGCAGCGATCCAACCACCCTGACTGACGAGGTTGCCCCTGCGTTGTACATTCTGCACGTGCTCCACGCTTGTGGCTGGGTTACACAAAAAATGATCGCCGACGTTCTCATCGATCATCACGTGTTTACTCGACTAAAAGCAGGTAACTTGATTCGAGTTTTCTACTCTTTTCTTATACCTGCTTCGGATATCTGTGCTCTCGTTGCACTTATGTTTCTCAGATAAAGCGCCTTTTATACTGCGATTTACAGTTTACCAGTACTCTTATGCGATTGACATCTACCGGTTTTCTTTCACTGTTAGGTAACGGCTCAGCCGTCGCATGTCTTTCGTAGTCGAGGGTGTTAACTCATTGTCGCGTTTTCCTTCATCTGGTAGCTTCTCATCACAGTGGCTTTGTTCACTTCCACTCATATTCCTCAGTTTTTGGCTCATCTGTTATCTCTCTCCTTTTCAGAATGTATACGTGAGCCAGCTTATAACAATTACCTCCTCAGTGTGTCCACCAACCCGACCTTCACACTTCCAGGCAAGTGATATTTAACAATCTTCTTTCTCAAACCGCATCACTTACAGTGTTCCGTAGGATTTTCTCTGCTACATCAACTACCTTTATGCTTTTTGCCTTTGCTTGATCTGCCCATCTTCACCCAGACATTTGGTTTTTGTTTGACTTGTCACATGTTCTCGTGCGTCTTTTTGCTTATGATTTTTCTTGCGCTTGTATTGTATCGACCGATATAGACATCATCGCCAAGCAAGACCTCGTTCACAATCACCTCCTGGATGCATTTATCTTCTGCACCTTGAAACTTCGTTTCCCCGAATCCCTTGTCACATTTCTCATCGGTTTACTGGCCGTGGAAGAGTTCAAGGTTAGCACATCCGTCCATGTTTCATTTGGAATTTGCCATCTATCTGAAGTTTTATATACCGAATTCTGCCTTCGTCAAAATTATTTTTCTTGGCTTTTCCCTTACATGCCACCGATTGCCAGTTTACTACGTCAAAACATTGTTTGTTAAGCAGTGAATCATTATGTGCTTTCCAGCTGTCACTCAAGACCAACCATCAGTTTGTTTTCGTTCCTGTATTTATCTGCCGTGTAAACTTCTAAATTGGCTATCACTCTTGCTGAAGTGTTATGTGGATTATGAGGTCTTTCGAAGTCAATAGTTCCACTTTGAGTTGGTCAGACAGTTGTCACATTTATGAAAGGAGTGTGGACTGGCGTTTCATCTTATGGGCTTTCGTCAGCTGTGCTTATTTCCCCAGAATCCTGCATGCTTCAAACTAAAAACTCTCATGACGCAGTTGCTTACGCCACTAAACCGTACCGCACTATGACGGGCCACCACGACTGCGTACTAACTGGGCTAAAACTCAGATCATCAGCTCGACATAACTCTCATTCCGGCCGGTGACGGTAAGAACAAAACCTTTGCCTTGCAAGCCGGATATCACAGGTTCGAGCCAGGGTTGGGGACCGGGCGACCCTCGCAATATCTTCAGCCCCCCTCATGCAACTAGTGTTGGTTGCATGGCAGCGACGCATCTGTACGGCGTCCTGCTAATGCCAATTTTGCCTCATTCAGAGGACGGGATGGTCTTCGGAGTTACCATTTTTTCGCTTAGTCTCCGGAATTCGGTGAAAGTTTTTAACTGTCTGTTTAGTTGACCATGTTACCAGATTTCTTCGTTGTCCGATGTAACCTTATTCTTTTTCCGTTCTTCCATCGCAATGAGGCTGAACCTTACCATATTGCGATGGTTTGCGTGCCTCAGTGATCCATTGAACTATTTTGCGTAGTACTTTTTTGTACATTCATAGCCACTCCTACCAGATTGGTCAATGGTTAGAGGCCAGACAAACTCAGCTTCTTGGCTTTCCAGATTGGAGGTTGGAATGAGGATGGCTTCTTTTTCCGTAAAATAGACTCCTTGTAGTTCACTGCCAAACCCGCTATCTTGCGATCATGTTTTTGAACCAAAGGCTTTGGTTGAGAACCCTAATCGTTCTCTTCTTTAAGCCTAGGCAACCTGACAGTATTCTATTCACCCAATACTATGGATCTTTCCTCAAAAGATTTCTGATGCTCTGGCCACTGCAGAGGATAATCAGCAGTGCCCCATCTGCTGCATCGATCGGGGTGGATAGGGGTTTGGATGCTGCTGCTCAAGCCTTCCCGTCTTCTTATTCCCCCTCTTGCGCTTTTATAACCCCTATCGTCCCCTTCCCACTCCACTTTTATCCTCCGGTTTCCAGCCCCCCGATTCTTGGCAATCCCCCACCATGTTTTGCTAGTCGTTTATCTTCTAGTTTGGACTCACATGCCCTATCGACAAGCCCATGTCCGCGTAGGGGTGGGCGTCCTCGCGGTATACTCAGCCCGCGCGCGACTGGTGGTGGTCGCGCGGCAGCGAAGCTCCGTTACGGCGTTCAGCTGACACATTATTATTATTATTATTATTATTATTATTATTATTATGTCTAACTAAGCAGTCAAGCCCACTTCATCGACTTCTATTTGGAGCCCCCGATCCTCCCTCAGATTGACATACGTCAACGTACGCAGATTGTTACCGATCGGTCAACAGGCAGCACTTGCCCGAACATTAGAGACCCTCTCGATCGGTATCTGCTGTCTATCGGAAACGCGCCTACAAGCCCCGAGCTCTGTCCTCACTCTGCGATCACCTTCAGGTGACCTTAGCAGTGCTTTCTCATTGGGCCACAACCCATAAGTAACAACAGAAAGGAGGAGGAGAGTCATGGGAAGGGATGCGAAGATCCATGTGTTATGTGGGCAGTGAGCTTCCCGGTTGCCCAGACCGAGGAAGTAGATTGACTTAAGGGACCCCACCCCGAGCCTTTTGTCTTGAAGACCTGACTCTCAAGGCAGCGGTGGCGAATACGAAGACCGTTGGCAGCCAGGTGACTCATTCGCCATCTTTGTGTTCGGATGGGGTCCACAGAGAAGCCGGTGGCTAGCAAACTTGTTCATCCGCCCTCCGTTAAATACTCACCTCCAGTTACAGAAATGAGTGGTCAATGACCCTATGGCCGGTCGCATTGGCTTTGACACAGTGCCGTACGAGCTCTTGCGGTATTTGATGGAGAACCAAGAGAGCAGCCCAGAACCCCCCACTCTCTGAGACACTGCCGCTGATTGTCCGCGACTGCTTATTCATTTCGCCTGCAAAGCAGACGAGAATTATTCGCAGTGATTTTTCAAGGAAGGCATTCCCCGATCCGCAACCTGGGGACGCGCCCGTTAGCGTGCAGCTCCGCCACGGGACCGGCCAATCCGGTGTTGGTATTGCTCTGAGTTCTCGGGCTGAAGCTGCTGTGGTTAGTGTGATCCCAATCAGTAGCCGGATGTGTGCGGTCCGAGTGGCTGGCTCATTCAAAGCTTCGAAGTCGCGCGGGACTAATAGATGTCTGTTTGTCATCGTTGCCTACGCCCTCACAAACTATAGCGATGATTCGGTAAATAAAGACCTCGATCGTAAACTGAACGAGCTTATTTTCCACAGAAGAAGCACGGACACTATAGTGCTGACTGAGGATCTGAACACCGAAGTTAGGTAATTGTCCACTGATGAGCTTCATCTGGGCGGCCAACATCCGTGGCAACGAGACTGGACCTTAACGTGGTGCGACCCATTGACCCATTGAGCTATCCTGGGTGATGCCTCTGGGCACTTTCAGAGCTACTCCTACCAGGTTGGTCAATGGTGAGTGTTCAGACAAACTCAGTTTCCTGGTCCTCCAGGTTGCAGGTTTGATATGGGCTGGCGTCCATTTCTGTAAAACCAAATCATTGCCACCTCCCCACTGCCTTGCGGACAGGCTTTTGAGCCAAAGGCTTCGGCTGAGGACCCTAATCGTCCTCCTGGCTAGGTCTTGGAGCCTTTGCAGTATCTCAGCCCACATACAACCAGGACATTTTCTTCAGACATAAGCTTCATCCGGCATCGGTTTATCATCTCTTTATTGGTTGCACGCATCCGGAGACGCCGATGCAACACTCATGGGTCAAGCTGGTGTAGGTATCATTCTAAGCTCCAAGGCTGAGCCATCGTTAGTCGATTGGATTCCGGTGAACAGCCGTTTATGTGCAGCCCGTTTGACGACATCAGCTGAGGTTGATTCACGAAGTAGTACAAAACGTTGTTTGTTTGTGATTTCGGCTTATGATCCCTCCGACTGCAGTTCAAATGCTGTCAAGGACACATTCTATTAAGAACTGAACGCGCTACTACGCAGTGCTACTAGTTCAGATATTATAGTACTTGCAGGGGATATGAACGCACAAGTAGTGCGTCTGAGCTCTTCAGAAGCTCAGTAGGGTGGTAATTGTGGGCTTAACTCCGAACGGACTGACAACGGTGAGCGTCTGCTGCAACTGTGTGCGGAGCACCAGTTGTTTCTTAGTAGCACTGTTTTTAGACAGTGGGCGCCAAAGTGCTACTTGACGTCCTCCTGTAGCTGGCCAGCGATGGACCCAAATTGACCACATAGCCATAAGTTATAGATGGCATGGTTCCATCCTGGATTGCCGCTCGTACTGCAGAACCTGCATCGACTCTGATCATGCCTTGTTACGCTGTCGTTTCTTCATGAACTTTACCGGGAGGCGCACCAAGCGTCTTTCCAGATTGGCAACTGAAAAATCGTCTCAGCCCTCGGTCAGGCAAGCCTATCAAGGTGCACTGCGTACCGAACTTTCGCTGTCTTGTCCTAATGACACAGAGCTTCAGTGGAATAGGATCTCGGCCGCCATGCACGATGCAGGAGCATCTACTTGTGGCATTATCCATCGTCATTGCACCAGTCGCTAGATATCCGAGAGATCGGTGAACCTGTTGGAATCTAGAAGAAACCTCCCAGCTGGCTCTGAACACAATGTGACCAGACGGGCTATTAGGCGTGAACTAAAGCAGAGCCGAAGTGCTGACAAGAAAACCTGGTGGAGAAGGCAGGAGCACTAAGCAATTACCGCAAGCTTTTCCAGGTAATCCGCACCACTGGTCCCAGAAAATCAGGCATCAGTGAGACAATCAGAGATAGTGCTGGTGCACTGATACACAATAAGGAGCGCCGTATAGCTCGTAGGGCGGAACACTTTGAAGATCAGTTCAGCTGGCCCCCTGCTCCCGGACCTCTTCCTACTCAGGTGTTGCAGGACGAGCCATGGACGGTTAGTTTAGAGCCTCCGTGGGAGGCCGAGGTCCGAAACGCGATCACAGCCCTCAATCGTTTTCATGCCGCTAGCCCGGATTCCCTCCCACCTGCACTATTTAAGGATGGAGGTGAGATCCTCTGCAAAGCACTGACCTCTCTATTCGAACGTATCTGGAAGGAAGTGTCCCGGCTAACTGGAGCGGATCGATTATAGTGGTAATATACAAGAAGGGCAGTCACACAGACTGTTCTAACCACAGGGGTATTAGCCTAACGCCAGTTGTGACAAAATTACTGGCCTCGATTATCGTTCGTCTACTCACTGCGGAACGGGAATGTCAGATTAAGGAAGAGCAGGCCGGTTTCCGCCCAGGAGGTGGCTGTATAGACCATATATTCACTTTGCGGCAGGTGCTAAAGCGGCACCAATCATACCGCAGACTGACAATAGCTGTGTTCCTTGATTTCAAGAATGCATTCGATTCAGTCAATCGATCAATTCTGTTCGAAATACTTGCGCGGAAAGGTGTTCCCACGAAATATGTGAACATCCTTCGTGCTCTATACTCGAACATTACGGGTCGCGTTAGGGTCTACAGTGGCCTATCGGATAGCTTTCCGACCACAAGTGGCGTTCGTCAGGGTTGTCCGATTTCCCGTTTTTGTTTAATTTCTTCGTGGATTCTA